CCGCTCCCGGATATCTGCGGGGTGTGCGCCGGTCGGGTCGGCTCTGGCGCAGCGATAGGCGCGGCTGTCACAAAGTCGGCTGCCGACTGAGCTCACAGACGGCAGTGGGTGCGGATCAGAGCCGCGGCTGGTGAAACGGACGCCGCATGGCCACCGAATTCTGCACGGTCATGGGAGACCGTCAGCCACAGCTGGTATTGCAGCGTGACGCAATATTCACCGACCGGCAAACATTCTCAGCGGGGGCAGCGATATTTTTGGTTGAAACGATAAATCTAGTTTGTTTGACAAACATTCAAACAATGCATGTTAATGAAGCGTGCACTTCTTTAAAGACATTATACGAGCATGGTATCTGGAGCGGAGCCCATGTCGCCGAAATAATTTGCATCTCCAAACATGACTTAATGGCGGGACGATGCCCCGTTGGTTGCCATTTACGATCCGTTGAACCAACCCGCTCGTATGTATGAGTTCCAACTACCGCGGATAATTAGTAAAAACTGCAACGTCATTCTGCCCTGATGCGCGGCTGCAGTGCACACTGCACAGTGCGCAGCGACCGACCCGGACGCGGACCTCCAACTCAAGCAGCTCATTGATTGATTGATTCACTCACTGCACTAAGTTATTGTCTTCCTCGATATTTCAATCAATCGATAGACTAGTAGTTTCACCCCTCACTTACGCATTTACTCCATTTCGGTTTCTCAGTCACTCCTGGCTGAGTATTGGCTGACTCACCCACTCACTAACTAACTCACTTACTCACTCACTCCCGAATCCACTCTCCCTCACTCACTCTCTCACTCTCTCACCCACTCACTCACTCACTAACTCACTCATTCACTTGCACACCTGACCGGCTGCTCAGCCTCCGAGCACCGAGAGACGTGGGACGTCGGACGGTCCGGACCGGTCCTAAATAGAAACTCGCGTCGTTCATGCAATACGGCTCAGCTCGTTGAGCCGTTACGTCGTCCGTGGCGGCATTCAGAGGGCGAATCTCTCACACGACACACTCCAGGTGACCAGACCAGCGAAACGCGGTGAGATCTCCACCGGAGACAACGTAACTAATGCGCCAGCCGCGGCTAGAAACCATGAAGGCCGTAGGTATATACCATCGAGAGCCAAGGCAGCCTATACCCAGGGTATATACCGACCTTCCAAGTTCCAAATACCCATAGAAACATAAAGCATGAGAAACGCGACAATCCTGCCCTATGGTGACACTGCACAATGTGAAGGATTAATTTTAATAATCAATTACACCGAGCACTTAGCAGCACTTTCTTTTGGACGTCAATCGAGAATAACTACTTTCGCCACATGTTGCGCTGTGCCGCTTTAATATTTACAAATAAAAATTAGGGGAAGTTGGGGCAATGCCGGAGTTGGGGCAAAGCCGAAATTCGAGATATTTCGAAAACCGTAACACATGGATGCCACCTGTCAGTGATGCTCTGAAGCTTAAGTGACTACAATTATCGCATGTTTGTTACGAGTCGTCATTCGGAATACTTCGACTGTGAGGGCGCCAAGAGCGTTTTCAAGGTACGTTTCCCTTGTACTACATGCGCCTTTGAAGCTGCATTTCTTGCTCATTATGCTACCGTTTGTCTAGCCAATTCGGTCAAGTAATCTTAAGCATGTCTTTGCATAAGTGTGCTGCCTATTTGAAATTTATACAGCACGTTGAAAAGTTATGGGCCTGCAAATGAAAGTATGGCTGGCTGGGGTAATGCCGAAAACGTGCGATTACGCACGTGTTAAAAGCACGCTACGTGGACTTTACTGCTGTAGAATAGCAACGCGTATTTTTAGTCACACAAATTACACTTTCAACCGACACAACGGCCTGTTACCTATAAGGAATGATTTACCTGGCATTTTCTTATTATATCACATAATTATAACTTCCAGTGTGCACCGCGTCCTCAAGCTCTTAAAACGCGTGTCAGCTTTGATGAATTCTGGATAAAGTTTGAGATAAAATGGCAAAATATCAATGTCGGCATTCCCCGTAGATTATTTCTCCCATTTTCGGCTTTCCCCGCAGTCCGGGGCAACGCCGAAAAAGTCACTTCTTTGATATTTTTAGTTTGTGCGCTTAACGGTATGCGAATTCATCAAATGCGCCTGGTTTGTTTGAAAGGCAAAAGACTGGCCTCTCGAATGACGCCAACAAGAAAAGCTTATGTTGTCTACCTTGCGTGCTACGGGCGTCAGAAAAAAGTCTTCGGCGTTCCCCCAACTTCCCCTATATAACGCTTGACAACCGATGTCCTACTAAACCGATGTATGAATCTATATTAGCAATGATGACGTTTTCTCATGCGGCGTGTTTAGTTTTTGCTCGTTCATTGTTGATATACCACCATCCCGTAGAGTCGCCTTCTGGACCGGGATGTATTCCCGTGAGATAAACAGTACACGGTTTCCAGACCAGCATGCCTGCAGTGTGCTGGGCCGCCACTGTATAGGTCTGGTAGCCGAACAGATGTCAACTCAGACCCCAGGACCCGTGGTATGCCTTCAGCGTCCGGCCAGCGCCCTAATTGGGTCACCTCTGACGCCATAACTGCAGTGCCAACCATGGTCACCATCCCTCGGTTGGCTCTGTTTGATCCGTACTGACCGGTATCGTTGAATACAATGATGGAGAAAGAAGAGCATTTTAACTCTATGTGTGGGTTATGTAATTGGTTGAAAACTGCACCTCTACTCGTACTGTAGGACAGGTGCACTTATATGTCATCCTTTCACGGAACTGCCATGCACTTTCCTTGTTGGATCACGATATGTACCAGGAAGCGTCATGGTCGATCGCTGGTCGCTCATAGTACCTCCTCGCCACCCCCAATGCATGGCGAGGCCCAGTGGGCTCTGTCTCGAGTTGCAAGACATTTGGACGGTCAACTTGGACCTAAAGAAGGTAATGTTGACCGTATTAAGGTGCCTTAGATCTAAAAAGGTAAGCATTAAATAGCTAATGTGGAAAAATTTAATGTCGCAGACTCATAACAACATCATGCGATGTGACACGAAAATAGTACAATGTTTAGCGCTTTTAGCTGATAAATCGCACAGGTAATAGCGCAATGCCCTAAACGGGGAGTTATTTTAATGTGCCCTTGAATTGTTTTTACAACTTTCCATAGTCCATAGGTACTATATTTATTCAACCTGCGCTCATTTTCTGATGCAACATTTTAATTGAGGATCAGGAAACTTACAGAAAACGGTAAAAAAACTAAATTAGAGCTTAGAGCTTTACACATCGTATGCCTACATATCTTCAGAGACCTCAGTCTCTGCAGAAGTCAAAGCTTTCGGGTGTTCGAACCGGCATTATAGGAATAATACGGTATAGACATCTCCTCGAATTCCATAGTCATTGTCTCGAATCCATCGAAGGCTCCATCGCCCTAGTCACAATGTACGTATTTGGTTACCTTCTTGAACGTTTTCTTTTCTTATCGAGAAGACGATAAGTCACAAGCCCCAATGTCACGCTATAGGTATGTGTCATGTGCCAATGTGAGAATTGTGTGCAACATGGTCCTGTTTGTTACCGGGTCATATACGTCGCATCAACTGGACACTGAATCCTTTAGCCGGCTCGCAGACAGGTTATTGCAGCCATGGTATTCTTGTCTCTCAGACTCTTTAATTACTCGTTGAGATCCGTCGCTGTGCACAGGCCAAACCTGCCTGACCGCCACCGCTGCGTAACACCAGATTGCCTTGACGGCCACGGGCCAGACTGGAGCTCATGAGCCTCCAAGCACGATGCAGAAGGGATGAATGTTGCACTCACGCCGATTGGGAGTGTTGTGTCCATTGATATTCATGTTAGAAAATAGAAGCAATGTTTATCGTAACGCTAGGATTTTTTAGAACTCGGCTCATTGTAGATCCTTGGGAAGACATCCGACGAGCCGCTGCATATCAAGTTATGGCCACAGATTACGTCATTCCGTACACTGATCGCTGCGAAATCCAGCTTGATGGGTGGGTATTTCTCTCGAGACGGGTGTAATAAAATTTAAAAATCGGCATTTTGTGTGACACTCGCTGATATACGTAACAGTTGTTTCGTTTGTGAATTAAGCCCATTGAGTAAATGCTGAAACCAACCTTGAGCACGACAGAATGAACCTCGATATGCCCAGTGGTCACGATAAAACATCTACCAAACTAGTCGATGCCTCGTTGCGTAATTGCATCTTCGAGTTTTTACCTATCTATGCGAGTGTCTTTGGATTGTGCTCAGTGCTGGTAATTGTTTAATTCCTTATCTCTTGGTCTTACAGACGTTTCTGGTCATGCTATCAGGATCCATGGCTTGTTTTGTTATCTGAGGACCAAGACACCGTCGCCTGCGGCCCCTACATATGTTTACGCTCTGGTGCAGATGAACCGTATCTAATTTCCCCGATATTACGCACTGTATCACCGTATACCACCGCGCAATATACGATATATGTACTGTGAATTATACAATATATGTGCATGCAACGCACAGGCCACAGCGTACTTGCGCACTTAGTTTTCGGGATAGTGTGCAATGTGCATTGTATAAGATATATGAAATGTACATACATGGAATGTAGATAGGTAGGTACCTATGATGCCTGATTATGAGGAAGCATTATGGATATCGTAGGGAGGGAAATGTCAAGCTTAAAAAATGGGACAGTTTCGGTATACTGTAACGTTTAAGCTGAAATAAAACATTTTTAGCTATTTTAGTAACTATTTTAGTATATTGATATTTTTATTCTAACAAAGTTTTTAGCCTTTAATTGTGCCCCTTGAGATGTTGGCCACTTTCAGAATAGATGCTGGTAATAGACGGCGATCGTGTACGAGTCGAACCATCAATATAGCATGGTGCACTTCATTTATGCGAAGTTATTATTTATGTATGCACATACGACAGGTAAACGGACAGACGATCCCTTTGATCGCGAAACTCACAAGCGGTAACTTACCTTTCGCATCATATCAGCTGCAACATCCACGTCATAATTTCGCGCTGAAACAGACAGAGCTGTCAAGCTGCGATAGGGCTACAGCTCATTTTAAGAAAAAAGGTATTTGATGCTGTTTTACTAAACAAATTTCAACTCTGGGTCACCACGTAAGGAATAATTAGCATGCTCGAATAATTAATGCGTGTATGAGGATTGAGGATAGGTAGCAATACCTCTCCGTATGTTGTGGCGAATAAAGCGATTTCGTGACGGCCCGTCGGTCGCGTCGTTGTGTCGTATTTGATATGAATGAATCTGATTTACTTACTGTTTTAACTTCCAGATCAATTGCTATCGTTGGAAGACGTCAACCTACTGCATTTTTGATATTCCGCAAAATATTGTAGGCACCGATGAAAAACAGGCATTATGTTTCATTGAATTGTTGTGGCTTAAGCTAAAAAAATTTAACAGCTCATACGAAGAAAATATGCTAACGTCAATCCGTAAGGTAGCAGGTACCGTTTAAAGCCTAAATTCATTGCTGGTTCATCGACATTTTAATTCAAATGTGATTTGCTATGGAACATCACCGCCTCTGAAAAGAACGATAAATTGCGTTTGTTCGCCAGATTGACAGACAATACTCAGGCATACGTCCAGGCCGATTGAACCATGAACGCGATTACATGTTCCCCGATGTTCGTATCGTCCAGAGGCCGGTATAGAGGACTGGCGTTGTCTGGCTGTTTTACTTACCGATCAGCCAGGAGAGAAGGTCGATGTCCCGATTGTAGTGTGTGCAGCAGCTCACGTCTGATACAGCCTTTTTGAACTGAAACGGCGAATAAGCACAGGTAAGGAAAAGACATTGCACAGATCACAAACACAGATCGACATCTATAAGCAATCTTGCATAAGAATTAGAAAAAATAGGCACGAAATCAGAATTGTATTAGCATAGATAATATGAATTTATTTTACTTATGATCTATGGTATGTCTATGGTATTAAATATACCTACTATTTGTCTTGGCCTAAGGGCGGCACATTTATCGTCATTTTTGTTCGGCATCCAGTTAGGTACTTTTGAAGCTGAAAGTGACATCTATCAAGAGACAATAACCTCGTTGATCACGCTGACGTCACACCTCGCACAGCACCGTTATACGGACGCCCCGACGAGTGCCGGGTTCGCGGCCCGCCAGCCGCCCCGATCCCGCCGACAACGTGCGGAGCGAGCGGTCGCACTCGTCCCAGCGACACCAGGTTACCGGGCCCGCAGAGAAAGTGCCACATTTCGCGAAACACGCGCAAACCGCAAACCGGGCCAGACGGGTTTTTGTCGCCGCGTGCTTCGGTGGAGCGTCCACGCTGCGTGCACCTATCGTGGCGATCTTGAATGACAGACTAGCGGGGGTGTGATGTGTGAATGGGCATGAATGCGCCATGGAAAATATGCGTGAAAAGCGTATGTAAACGTACGTAAGTAAATAATATATTTACTGTTCGACCGAAGAAATACTTAAGTACCGATCGTTTCTGACTCAAGTGTCATGTTGCGACATAATCCAAGGTCCCACTGCATTCAGACGGGTGACGGAAATACCGCAGCACAGTTGTTCAATTAAATCGTGAGACTCGGGGAACGTAATGGGCCTGACCCAAGGCGTCTGGTCTGTTCCAGTCCACGACTAAGAGCCGGCCGGTATTCAGGGTGGCACTAATTAGGTGTTTTTACTCTGTGGGAGCGTTGTGAGGCCCAACAAACACGTTTATACACACATCTCATACAGTGTATCCCCGTGATCCTGCAGTGTAAGGTTTGTATCCGCAGCGGGAACTGGTGGACGGGTATTGATTTCTTTTAACGCACTCTTGCAAGCGTATGTTACAAATTGGGTCCTGATAAGGCGCCTTGGCCCTTCCCCCCCCCCTCCCAGAGCAATATGTTGCTACACGACGTAGTTGTGTTGATGTGAGGACCGAGAGGCGAGGCGCCAGCTAAAAAACCATCGAACTGATAGCATCGATAGCGTCTCTCGACCTGACAAGGCCTCTGCCTCTCGTTGCCTACATAGACGCATAAAGATAGCGAGATACCGACAGGCAGTGTCACGGTAGTGTAGCTGTAATCGTATGTAGGTACTCGGAAGGTAGGTATCTCATAATCGGGGCGAACTTCTTCACAAAATGCCGATCGTGATGAGGCCCAGATTGTCAAATAGGACGTCTGTTTATTGTTCCAAATAGATTGTAAGACAGATACGACAGGTGTTGAAATATACCTACTTAAAACGTAACTCAACGACATAACGTTATGCTCTGCATTTCACTTCTCATGCTCGACCGAATACGAGAGTGAAACCACGGGACAAGAATGGAATTGTCTCCGCAGAAAATAAGCATCCGATTAAACGTTTCCAATAAAAAGCCTATTTTTCATTATCTTCAGGCTATGGTGACCTAAATGACATGTTTGACCAGGCCAAACATGTGCCTTGAGAACCTGTCAGCGAAAGATAGTAAAAAAGCAAATGGTATTTACATGGTGTTCGTGATGTGCCGTTCATACGTTCTGAGCAAATTTGTCTAATTACGGTCAACTGATGGGAAAATAATCTCTTATAGGCTATCGCTTATGATGACCTGACATTTGACACCTTTGAAATGCGCACGTTATTTTATAAATGATTTTACGACCTTTTGCTCGTCGCTTACAGCTTGCCTTGGATCGCTTTTATGACCCATAGGAGTCGAGAAAGGTGGGCGTAAGGAGCGATCGAACGCCCGCAGTCTCGATAAGCGAGGATCCGGCCAATGTAGCCCGTACTTGCTGACAACTTCGGTTTATTATTCGGCCGCCGGAGACCACAAGCCGTCCTCGCCTCGCTAGATTGTTTTCACGCGTTGGGTTATGTAGAAATCCAGCTGCACTGACAGGGGATCCACTGCGGTAAATATTGCTTGCGTGCGTGCGTAACCCGCCGCGTACGCTGCTGTCCACCGGGCAAGGTCACGGTCAGGTACTGAGCCCTGCAGGCGCTGTGTTGTTCCGCAGCCACCGCAGGTAGGTACACGGTGCACGCTGCACGGCGCCGCGGTGCTCGATCCGTGGAGAATCGGTTAAATGTGCGAACGGGACTGCGTCGTAAACACGCACCTTCATTTCGGTAAAATAGGATCCAAATCTGACAGCATCGGCTACGGTCGAGTTTTTAAAAGATGCGGAGGGAATGGGGGATGGTGGTTTTAAATGTGAATACAGGCAAAGCAACGTCGATGTCAGTCCTTCAGTAATTTGAGCTGTTATAGTTGAGATTGAAATTAGAGAATGTGTAAGATTTCAAGAGGTATAGTTGGTTTCAGTTCATTGAGCAGGAATGATTGAAATTAAAATGGCATTTATTAATTATTACCTGCATAAATAGGGCGTGAAGTAGGTAGGTACCACGGTCGGTCAGTCCGCTTGTTCGGTCACGCGGATTAACGACATCTCGTTCTATAAAGGAGTAGTTACGAACGAAAATTATGTCGAGTGTCCCCTGAGTACCCGTCTATCCAAAGCACATATCGCTTATTAGCGTGACAAAAATGGGTTTAAACTTTTAGCTATGGGTACTTAATCATTTCTACTTCTCCTCCCGCGGGTCACACTGGTCACCGACTGCCCCTCCCCTACAGTTGGTGCCCGTGTCCCGTTCCCGGCGATCACCCCACCTCACCTCCTCAAACTTGGCCCGCTGCTGCGCTGAGAGCGTCTTCATACGGTCCGTCATGGCTGCGTCTGCGTGCGGCGCGTCCCACTGGCACAGATATCACTGCTCGCGGCGCGTGGATCGGCCCGCCTCCCGACTGTACCACCGCCGCGCGCTCACTGACTGGGCTTGGACTGGGCTGCCTGGGATCCGCCGCCCGCCCAGCCGTGCTACCTTCGACGGCCGCCGCCGCTGCCCCCTGCCGGACGACGCGATACTGTGCCGCCGGGCCGCCGGCCGACACGCGTACTAACGGGAGGTGGAGAGAGGGATCGAAAGTGGGGTGAGAGGGAAGAGAAAGAGGAGTTTTTAGGTATCACACCTTCGATTAGGGAGGGGACAATGTTGATAAGACACAAGAGCTGAGCTGTCGGGTGAATCACGTGAATGTGGGTGCCATGACACCGGCAGTGATGCAAACTGAATGGACTGGTCAGCGTGTCAGTCAGCACGGCGGGCTTCCCATGCAGAACAGGAGTCTGAGGCCTCAGACTTAGGTTGATCGAGTAGGTAGAACGCCATGAAGATTGGAAGGCCGATTTCCCGGCCAGTTTCCCGAAATTCTGAATTTCACAGAACTACAGCGCCGACGTTTCTGTTCTTCTGCTTCCTCCACTTCTGAGCCACGCAGCCAGAGTTGAAACTTAACCCGCGCACCGACGGGGGTCTGCGCCAACTTAGTACCGACGGGGGGGGGGCGGATGACCGCCCCCCCCCCTGAGATCTCGAGAACGAAGCAAGATAGCGACAAGCGGTAAACGGCATCGGATACGCACGGTCAAGATCTACAATTTTTACTAAGGTCATTTTCAGGTCAGGTCAAAGATGACGTCACAGGGGTCGAAAAAGTCAAAATGGCGGCGCTAGATATGGAGAGAGTTTTTTCTCGAATAACTTTCGAATTAGTCAAGATAGGAACAAACTAAGGGCATCATCGTGATCCTCTCGTCAATCCACATCGAATGATATATATGTTGACCTCGAAAGGTCAAGGTCAAAGGTTGACCTCAGGTCACGTGACCTCGAGGTCATCATGTATATCATTCGATGCGTCTTGACGAGCTGAACACAATGAGACCATCCACGCGTCTGTATCTTGTTCCTGTACGGAGTTATTGGCCAAAAACCTTTGGTGACCTTTGATGACGTCACATGACCTCACAGCTGCCCAACAGCAAAACAGACCTCAAGGTAGTGAAGGTTGATCGTATATGAAGTCATGTATGGTATATGGGGCCATTCCGACCCGTTTTAGTGGTAAAAACAGGGAGTTGATTTTTCCCCCATTGACTTATAATGGGGAGGTCGCGAAATTGACCTGACCTTAGGTCACCGATATCAAAATTCCGAGATACACAAATTGTAGCTACTAATGACCTAATAACATCCTGCGACTTTCAAAGGCCTCCGACATCTACTGTAGCTCTGGCACGGTGACAAAGTTGCAAAAAAGTGACTTGAGGTTGGGTCATTCAAAGTGACCTGGTGACCTGACCTTGAAAGGTAGGAGGTTCAAACTTGCACACCATGTGTAAAATTGATAAGGGAATAGTCATACCAAATTTCGCGGCGCTACGCGCCGCGGTTCTCCCGCTATTCGCGAAAAACCTCAGGGGGGGGGCGGATATCCGCCCCCCCCGTCGGTGCGCGGGTTAATACCAAGGGCTGACCCAGACAACCTCCTATAGAAGTCAGCCAGCAGCCGCCGAGAATCCTCCGTTCCGTCGTTTCCAATTTCCATCATCAGGATACTGAACTGAAATCCTTCTTTGTTGTTTATTGGAGCTTTAGGGCGCGCCGACTGCTAGGGTCATTTTGCGCCCATAACGTCCTGAAATCCTTCTCCTCCACGCCGCAACCCCACTCCGGGCTGGACAGGCACCTTTATCTCATGCGGGCTGCTCCCTTGGAGCGGCACCGCTGCTCCCGAGGGAGCGCACCCCGTAGCCGGGTGCAGTGAATACCGTGGGGCTGGTCGGCCTATCCTTCGGGATGGGCTCAGCCCTGGTGACTCACTAGGGGGCCTGCCCAGACCAATGTCTCCCTCTAATTCCTATCATCCTTCCGGCTCTGAAATGGTCTTGTCAGACCGAAAGGGCCTAGCCCCCCCCCCCCAAAAAAAAAAAACGCTGGGAATCAAACGCACTCACAGCGTAGTCACGACAAAGGTGCACCTCGCGTCGTGACCAGTGACCACAACCCGAAGCCCTACAGTCGATCGGAGCACATAAATGCATTACAATCATCTCATAAAATAATGTATTTCGCCATCATTAATGGGCTGCATGTCCACAATATTCGCACTTCATTCTATATCATACTATACATAACCTGACAACGTGACAAATACACGATATGCAACGACGCTCTCGAGTCTCGAATTGGCTAGACACCTGCGACTTGGTAAGGTCGAAATGGGTGGGGAGCTCCTCAGTCCTCGCTGGGCTAGTCGGAACACGACTGAGCAAATGTGCGCGCGGGTATATACGGGATATATGTTAACACAGCAGGGCCGATATAAATAAAATATTCCGAGCTCAGTGGTCGAAACATTTCTGCGAGAATTTCTATTACTAAGGTGCACCCATGACTGTCACTGTAAAATGTGCTGCCACCTGTCATAAGACAGCATGACTAGACATTTTGATAGTTATCGCTAGGTGGCCACCTGCCCGGGGCACGAGGCTAGTCTCCCATCACGAGTTGCATCTTCACCTGAATAAACTACCTACCCGACCGGTTAACAGAACCTAACCCGATTAACATATCCCACCAGCGTGCACGCTAATCAGACGACTAGAGTACGTCATAGGGGGCAGCCACCCGACGGAGGGACCCGCGGGGCATACCAGCTGGGAAACCGCCCTCTGTCGCGTCCACCCAGCCACCCGCACTAAACTCATACGAAACAGCCAACAGACATCCGCTCCGCACACCTCCAGTCTCAGCACATCACAGAGATCGCACAACGGAGAGCCGAGGAAGCTTAGAACAGCAACCCCGGCCAGGCCGCAACCACTCCTCTCTCACTACCGACAGGTGGCGCTGAACTCACAACACCTAACTCCGTACGACCACTCTGAGCCACCTCAGACACCTCAAACCGACCCACATAATGCCAGCACGCTACGTAAAGCAACAGAGGGCAAGCACCAAACGAAATCACAAACCGAGCCGAGCCGCGCTGGGTACCACCGGACGGCGAGTCGGCACCGCGACCAGCTGAGATTCTGCGCCGGGCCAGGACCTCCCCGGGCTCTGCGCCGGTCCAGGGCCTCCCCGAGCTCTGCGCTTGTCCGGCTGTCCCACCAAGCGCCGGAGGACTGCGGGTGTCATTGTCAGTCTCGGCCGAGTGTCCACTGCACAGACGTACTGCCAGGCTGTCACCGAGCCAGTCGCCGGCAGGTGGCGGGCACCGTTAAGTAGGACGATAATCTCCCAATGGGCCCTTCATCCAACGCCCTTCGTAGGATCGCCCTCTCCACCACGACAGCATTCAGCCCACGCGGGATTCCTCTGTCGGCATCAGCGTCGTCTGGCTGCGAGCGGTGACGATATCGGAGCTGCTTGACGGTATCGCCATGGCACAGGCTTCAGAGCTCGAGGATGTCGCTGTGCCGCCTGTATCAGAGCTCGAAGATGTCGTTGTGCCGCTGCTCAGTGCGCCGTCGCGCGTCGCTGCGCCGTCCGCGCACTGCCGTGGCCGGCACGGCCGCCGGGTCAGGGTACAGGTCACGGCGCAGACGGGAGTGGGCCGGCCGGACAAACAGCACGTCTTCGTCCAGCTCCGACAGCCTGCCGGAGAACAGGGGCGGGGAGAGCTAGGTCACCGAGGGAGGTCGGAGGCGCACAATGACCGCTCGAGACGCAACAAAACCTGAGACTCGCGAGGCTGATGAGCACTGGCACTTTATGACGTGGTAAAAATTGATTGCGGTCGAAAAAGAACTACAGGGTCCCACGATTGTATCATCAGATGGCGTATGCTATGCACAAACGTGAAACGATATCAACTCTGAGCTCCCTATCTGTTCGACAGGACACTCAATTATTGAGAGATATTAGATACACTACTTCTTTCTACTGACATGACCGAACAATGTATGAGCAGCAGTGATCCAGCGGTGGTGAACTGACTACTTTTCTCTACAGACGGCCCCGAGAGAGGAAAGCAGGTGGGAAGTGCACACTCCAATATAGCGGGCAGCAACACGCTACCATAAAAATAACAGCTAAGCAGCATGCCGGCCCCAAGCAATCTATACAAAGCACACCAAAATCGCGGATGAATTAAAGATATAAGTGGCAAAAGCAGGAAAGCCTCTGTGACGGGTCAGCAATTGTAAGGCATCAGGCAGTCTGTACACTAGTGTAATCTAGCAGCACGCCGCTTCAGCTAGTCACTAGCGCGGGGGCGGCAGTCGGACAGGCGGGGCGAAGTCTGACCTAAATAGTCGCGTCACACCGCCGACTCATCAAAGTCGTCGTTAAAGTTATTCCACTTGGTTCGCGCGAACGCCACCGCTTCACTGCCCCAGCTGAAAAAGAACCAGCCAGCATAAAATGATGGCAACGGCGAGCCGGGTAAGGATGGCGGTCTACAATCTACACAAATTTACAGAACGCCGATGGTTAAACAATGAACACTGGGTGAGAGTAGTAAAAGCGGTGCGCAGTAATTTTGGTGAGAGGACAAGGCTATTGATCAACAAACTAGCCGGCTACGGCGTCATGCTGGGAATGGTTACGTGAGAAGAGCTGCTGCGGTGCAATTAAGTGTTGAAGCGGCTAGCCAAGTTAAATTACACTCTTAAAGGCGATTTTCGTAGCAATGAATGGCATCATCATATTAACAAGTAGGTTTAATTCGCATCAATGTTTTATATGTATTACCTAAATATCAAACATTTGTTTGCATTGGAAAGAAAAGTTCCGCGCAAAAGCTTTCAAATCGTGTAGGTACGCCAGTAATGCACAAACGATTGCATTATTAACTGCAAAAAATATAGCGAGCACGAACGTCTGGAGCATGAGTCATCGAGCGAACGACAGCCACCTGACAGGCGCCGTTCCTTTCCAGTAACTAGCTTGGAAACGATGAATGCCGTTGTAAGGTGACAATGCGTCAATTCAGGGTAGACGGGTGACGTTTTGCCGGATGTCTACAATCCATTGAGTCGCTTACCAGACAGGGGCCCTTTCCGGGGAGGGGAGAGGGAGGCTAAGCAACAGCGAATGCAGCTCAAGCAGAAACTTCGCTAGTTGCAATTGACTGTGCTAGCTTCCAGCTAACAGTAAGCATTGAAAAAATGTTGGTTTCTGGGGAAAAATTTCGAACGCTAGGTGACAGGCGGAAAGCCTGCCCGGCCGTTCCAGACGGGAATATGCCGGACGCCGATTCTACGGTAGCCCGCGTGCCTTTGAGCAGGCCACAATAGGCGCCACGCTGACCTTTCCGACACAGATGTGCCAGCAGACGGTCCAATTGGTATTGTAGCCATGCCACAGACAACAGCTGGCCTTCTAAGATTCGACCACCACCCTTGAAAACCGTATAACGAAACGAAACGAAACCCCTGAAAATACTGACTTTGGACCCACCGTGCCAGCCAACCAAATATAAAGGAATTCAATGACAAAACAAGTGTCACACATGGGAATAAGGATTCAATTCATGTTTAAAGTAATATATTGATGGGTCTAATTTTCAGTATTACTTGCCTACCACATCACATGCATATGCAAAATGCATACAAAACAAGCACATAGACGATAGATTGGAAGATAAAAACAGAACAACAAATAAAAGGCGCAAGTTGATGGCCAAAGCAGCAGATAAATTTGGGTAAAAGGTGTAGGTTAGGCATTTTCAAAAAGTGCAGAATTATTGTGATACCTTTGAACTGTTCATGACAAAAGAAGCGTGTTATATTACCTTGACACTGCCATACTGTTCTTAAAAAGGAAGTGAGTATCAGGGCTGCGGAGTCGGAGTCGGAGTCGGAGTCGGAGTCGGTCGGAGTCGACAGTTGTGACCGGAGTCGGAGTCGGAGTCGGAGTCGATTTTAGAAGCCCGAGCCGGAGTCGGAGTCGGAGTCACCGAAAATCTGTCGACTCCGCAGCCCTGCTAGGTCTGCGGAGTCGGAGTCGGGAGTTGGAGTCGGTCGGAGTCGACAATTCTGCCCGGAGTCGGAGTCGGAGTCGGAGCTGGTTTTTGAAAGCCGGAGTCGGAGTCGGAGTCGGAGTCGCCGAAAATCCATCGACTCCGCAGCCCTGGTGAGTATCACACCATGACACCAAAAACAAATATCGCAAAAAAATCAGCAAGTGAAAAAAGCGAATGTGAACTAAATAAAATGTACATACAGCTCAGGGTGAAACTAAAACAGTGCATGTGCATTACATAGGCAGCATGTGAAAATTAACAGTACCTACCAGTAAGCTGCAATAGCATGCCATGGCCAATGCACGAGTACCAGCCATCCAAAACAAGCTAGCCATTCACTCAAACACTGGCCTGGCATCCCGGAGAGCAGCTGACGCAGTCAAAAAGAAAAAAAAACTATGCATGGCCGGACAACAACGGTACGGGACGGAAAAAAAACATAGATTACCGGCCGCCTGCCGTCCGTCCATCCCTCCGGCCGGCCCGCGGGAGCGGCGGCCGACTCTGTACTCACGGCTGGTTGGTGCCCAGCTTCTGGACGTTGGTGCGGCTGCTGGCGATCACGCTGTCGATGCCGCTGAGGAAGTCGGCGGCGCTCTGCTCCGAGCGGTCCAGCTCCGTCTGCGAGCCCGACCGGGGCACGCCGTTGGTGCGCGTTGAACACGACGACGACGAGTGCAGGCTGTCCAGGCTGGTGGAGGCCGAGAGGACGGCGGCGGCGCCGGCGGCCGGCGGCGCCTGCTGCTCGCCGCCCGGCTCCAGAGGAATGGGTACCAGCAGCGTGCGCCGCAGCGCCAGGCTGTCGTTGGTCCACAGCTTATTGGCCCGCTTCAGCTGCTCCATCTGAACAGGGGGGGGGGGGGGGGATAGTCGAGTGATGTGATGTTACAGCTGTCAGCTAATGCTGGGGACAATGGGGACCAACAACAGGGGCCAAAGGAAAAGAGTGAAAATAACCAGACACTTGTTAAACTTTGAAACATTATCAACCAATCATCATGCCAGTGAAGCAAGGATGCTTTCTTTAATTTTTAGCAATGTGAAGTAAAGTTAAAAGAAGCATGAGCTCATGTGCCCTAAATTAAGCAGCCTAAGGCTGATCCCTATAAAATATGAAACAAATCATCTAGTAAAGCATACACCAAGAGCCAATATTGTTTGGAGATACTTTAGAAAGTCACACAAAAGACACAATTACTGAGGAGAGATATGATATATCATTAACTGATCTGATAACAAAACATCAGCTTCATGACATAATGAAACCGTAATTTATCAATGGCTTCCATGTAGGTACTTTATTTAATGGAATAACTGTGATCATAATTTGATACAAATTAAATGCAAATTATTGAAAAAATGGATGACCTTGGTATATAAATTTTATAGAAACCTTTTGATGTTATGAAACTGACTAAATTATAGTCCATTTTTTTTCAAAAGGCTCATGGCCCGAAGTATTATTTTGGAGTTGGCACGTGCGAGACGCTAGAAAATAACGCAAGCTGACTGCTGAGAAGAATTTCTCTATGTTTTAGGGCCTTGAATTTCTCGGCCATTTTTGAAAGATAAGTACAGTGCAACGGAGCAAGTTGTTCAATTTAGCTTATAAATCGTGTCACATTGCAGAATGTTAGTAAATTCATAGATTTAGCCATTCTGTTGATTTTGCATGCAAATTTAACGTCACTCATAGAGTAACATTGATTCCACAGCCAGCTCATCACTTGAGAAACTAGCAAGCGGCAAATCTTTAAACATTCAAGACAGAATCTGTCGGGGGCCGGAATTCTGAACGGCAAGTTCATGGAAAACATGTAATTGTTAGCTGCTGAAGCTGGTGACGTTCCATATTGTTGTCTTAACTCTTACATTGTGTTGTCGCATGCTACGTACAAACTTCAGTCGTCTTTTAAGTCTTTCCAGATTTAGTAGGCGCATACCCGACTTCTTCCCAATGCAGAAATCGATCGATCAGCATTGTAGTAGATCAGCAGATATGCTGGCTCATGTTTCTTTTTGTACTCAACAGAAATAAACGTAAAACAAAATGTCAATCGGTGTGTTACTTTTGTAGGTCTGTTAACAGGTCATCCACGTGATTATCTTAATAATTTGTTTAGTGCCTATGGCTGGACCCCGTGTGGAAGCATTTTCGATTCACAGTTCCTCATTATGAGTCGTATGTCTATACTTTTTTTCCAAACTATCCGCAAGTCAGAGACCAGCCGACCCAGCCAACCTGTCTGATTTCGAAACGTGCCAAGCCGGTGTTCGTTGATTTCTGTAAAAACCACCACTTTGCACGTGACAATTCTAAAATCGATTTTCGGGCCGTGCGCCTTTTGAAATAAAACGGACTATAACTGCACAAAGAAAATGGATTTTAAGAAACCTAGACACAAATTAATGGCACAAAGAAAATTGATTTTTAGAAACCCAGACACATTTATCCCTTCCAGCTGAGCTAGGTATTGATGAAAAGAAAAGTGGGTATTTTACTAACCATTGCAAGTAATTGTTATTATCTATTGTTCAACAAGCACTGGAGGACAAGCATCATTTGCCAATTTTTTTTCAGATTGATACAATATAATAATAGGTAGTACATCAGTACCTAATTCATCACATATTTTCATCGTCCCGGTCCATCCCTTTGTTATCTCTTGTTTTAGGGATAGCTAAAACTATCACTCTCTGTCTGTCACTAGCACTATATATCTTTTCTTTGTTTCAGGATGTCTATTGTCTAGGTTCCATAGAATATTCAATAAAAATAAGATGTAGGTACAAGTTTCCAGTGAAACATACAACATTTCTGATATTTCTGAAATGAAAATTGATAAAATAAGACATCTGGTGAGTTGACAAGCAAAACCAACATCCTCTTTCAATGAGGAAATTATATTCAACTCAATAGGTAATAACATTTTCTTTTAACAACATTACTTACTAAGTGTTCATTCAACAATGTGAAATAATTTACTAATTTCTCTAATGGAGCCAGAATAAAAAATGGATTAAGTAGCCTAATTACAATCATAATTGATCCACCAACGCATATTACGACGGATTAACAGTAACCAATTACGAGAGCCTCGTCAATGCACATTGATTACAATTCTATCCATGCTGATAAAAAGTAATGCTATTTTCATTAAATATTTCAATCCCTTTACACCAAACTCAAGGAAAAACGACCCATATTGCAGGAAAAAGGGTGCGCCACGAACGCATCATCTCACCGTTACGTTGTGCTTGAGTGATATTCCTTGCAATGTATCTCCGGGCTGGATTTCATATGAAATGAACCTTTCAGGTTTGTTGACATATGTTGAAGTACTTCCATATTTGCGTTGTTCTTTATTAAATGAAGATATTAAAGACCGCTCTTCGTCCCTTGAGTACGCCATTTTCGTCTCCTTCAGTGCTGCCAAAACTAGCATTCTGAAACAGATGGCAGCAATAAGTAAGCATCACGTGACCGATGTGAAGGAATTCGGCTGGAATTCGGTATGCATGGGAAGGGACGAGTTGAAGAGCACAGCATGCACCCTTTAGATGAAAATTAGCTATTTAGCCTGCTTCTCACAAACAAGACGCTCGAAAAAACAGCTTTTAGTGAATATCATAGTTCAGACGCGGTCATGTGTCATGCAAAAGGCTCCTAATCAGAGAACGAGCGCCGGCTCCACGGATCTGCTCGATCGCGTTGCATCGCCGGCGGGCGGCGCATCCCCGAAGTCCCAACCCAGCCCATCGATATACCTTCGTACCCATTGCAAAAGCACGCTCGTACGTGCGCGGTAGAACGGTTCGCTTTCATCAGGGGTCACTTGCTGCATCTCATATGAATACGCTTAGACCATCTGCGCCACGCACTTTAGCCAGTAGCCACGCCTGTCGCATACCCTGGATCCGTTCTCGAGATTGAAGCCGTAAAACCGAGCTACCGGGATGTCGGAAGAGCAGTTATTTGGGTATTTTTAGATAAAAAATGCAATAAGCCCCATTTTGGCTATCCTTCTCACTACCCAGCTGGGCTGGAAGTGAGCAATCAGTGAATCTTTCCGTCCCGTACAAACAGGTTTACCGTATCCGTGCAAATGAATGCACCGCTGAAAGCGAAAACACACCGTGCGGACGCGGAGAGAATCACAAGCTGCAAACGCTGCAGAACCACCAGCTGATCTGATGTGTGCGTACGTTACCGGGTCTGAATGGGCCGCGGCCACGTGCCGTCCTTCGCACAGTCCACGAGCGACCCACGAACTGGGACGACCGGGGCAGAGGACCCGTCTCCGTCCGACCGATAAACATTTCACGTCTGGGTGACATTGACCACAACACCCAGCGGTGACCTCTCAGCTGGGCGCTCTCTCCCTCCTGTGCTCTATCCCATTCCCCGGTCCTCCCACCCGTGTCACGAGGCATAAAGTAACACAAGAGATCGACCGAAGGAGGGGAGGAGAGGGATTGTCGGTTAGGGGCGGGAGACTTCCTCGGGAGGTCTCCCCATGGATTACTCACTGTCCCTGGTTGATTTCCTCCATGATGGCCGGTCCATCCTCCGACACCCGCCGCTCGGAGGCCACCGCGTGCGAGGCGAACACGTCGGCCGCCTTCACGTGGTTCAGGTTCAGATCCCTGTCACCGGCGGGTTCCAGGCTGGTCATCATCGCTGCCGGCTGCCGCCGCTGCGAGCCGCGCCGCGCACTGGGGAAAAACTGACGGCAGTCGTCCCGCTTTCGCCGCTCGCCGCGCCGCGCCGCCGGTGGTTTGGCCCGTCCACGGCACCCGCCAGCCTTGTTCGGCACGGCGTCACGTGCGCTAGTCACGGGCTGACCTGCCTGCCACCTGGCGGCGCCCATCACAGGTGCGCTCACCCCCGCCCCCTCCTGCCGCGGGGCCAGGGTCACCGGCGGCGGCGCGGCGCAGCGGACGACGCCTCAGGGATGGCACCCATCTCAGAGATGGTGTAGATTCTCAGAGATGGTGTAGATACGAGCCCGCCGTACGCCGCCCTAAGCCGACCTCAAGGTGAGAGAACCCGTAAGAGGACCGGGCCTCGAAATGAACACCGGATATCTCCCGGAGGTCTGGCTGAATCCGGAAGCCAGGAGAGGACAGAAATGGAAAACGGTGAGAACTAAGTACTGAGAAGTAGGCAACGATCAACGCTACAGCCTGGACATTTGGGGAATAACTAGGTCTAAAACCGAGATCGCGTCAATGCAAGGACAGGGCCAAGGCGGCGGAGTCGCACCTACATAGGACAGGTATGCAGGCATAACGGTACGCTGGTCTGATATGCAGCTGAGCCACAGTGCAGATTTTAAGGTTGGGAAGGCTAAGAACGCTGCCTGTCGTGAATTAGGGCGATTTGTTGGTCAGAGAGCGGCTTAGTGTAAGCGCGTGCTTCCCTGTTCCCACCCCGCGGCCGTGCAGCTGGTTGTTCAGTGGCCAGTTGCCGACGGTTAGGTCAGCTGGTGGTTACTGGTCAAGACTGCAGTCGTGAAGGGTGATCGTCAAATTCACGAGCTCTCCGTCGCCTCCGGGCAGCTCTTGAAGCTCATTATTCTGCGGTGGCATTGTTTCGCTGACCGTTCGCCAGCAGCTACTGTTCCATTGAGACATTAAAGGGACCCTCCCACCTTCAAAAAAGTTTATGAATTGGCATGAAAGTGATGTCGCTCGGTTCAGAAAGAGCGAAAACGAATATCTACCAAATTTCACCGAAAAATATTCACCGGTTTTCAAGATATTAGACTTTTACTTTTGTTTACTTTTTTGGGATCTTCGCTGTTTCTAGCGATATTATTTTAGAAGTGCGGCGTTTGCGGCAGATGTTGCGCGCAAATAGCGTATACCACCGCGTGCTAGAAAACGTTTTAGTCAAACATTTAAAAATCGTTAGATATTTGCGCTGACGTCACACATTCAGAGGGGTATTCCTAAGCATTAGCCCCTCTGAATCAAAATGCTGCAATTTTGAAATTCAATATTTCCGATTTAAGGCATTTCTCGATGTTGTGAGTGCCGAAACCGGTAATTGTGAGCCAGGGACCCCATTTTGGCTATCTCAACTCAAATCTAATGTTAAGGTGGGAGGGTCCCTTTAACTCAGTAATGAGCCAGAAAGAGCGAGAGCGAGAGAAGGAACGTGAAAGAAGGGCGAAACTATATGCCTTGGGCGAGGCCATGTCAGCGCGAACATGAAGGCGACCGGGGGACGCAACACCTCATGCTTTACATTATTGCGCAAAGCTAGACGAGAAAGTCCAGCTTGGCAACAAGACCCTTGAAGCTCGCCGGCCATAGTATGACTTCTGCATTGAATCCAGTCACAAAACAGCCCCTGTGCAGATAGCCCACTGCGTTATACACTACCGTGTTATCAAAGGCCTCGAGAGGCGGTAGGTATACCTACGAGTGACACGACAAATCGTCTTAATAGCCAACTGCATAATCCGTCTTAGCATAAGCATTTCGACATATTTTTAGGGATTTCAATTTTCAGTACATCAAGCCCAGGCCTATTCCAAACCGTTCCCATTCCCCGCACTAAGACTAGGGGAGGCCCAATTGAACCTAGCTATCGGGGTCACTGCTCAGATAGGCGCGCACAGTGTTATCAACAGCAGTGAGGCGCCGTCTAAAAGCTGTCTTGTCTCAATACTCGTACCGCAATCTCCAGTAGTGCGGACGTGTACACGTAACTATATCAGGCGTGATTAGCATACAGGTTACTCATTATGTTGCTATGCGACAATCTTCAACATAAGAAAAACTATGTTATAAAAAGACGATTCAGCGGCTTTCAGCCAATTCGGAGGGTCTATGCTTGCGGAAATGCCACCCCACTGTTGTAACTATCAAGCATCAGCAGTCTGCTCACTGGGGTCAGGCTCGACATATATCATTTCATGAACGTATCCGGTCAACCACAATTCGAACTACGCTCTGACCCCCCTCACAGTCCCCGCAAACACCGTTTGGTCAGCGTGCGCTGTATTCAGAGGTCTACAGAGGCGGCTGAGCGCGGGGAGGGACAGCCTCCGACTGCTCCGTCGGGGCGTCTCCGACTCACTGCTCCCGGGCCGACCGGTACACCGGACCGACGGCCCTTCCCGGCACAGACCTGACCGGGCCCACAGCCTCGGTCACCGACCCACAGTTGGTGAGATGCAGCCCCAGTGCACAGAGCTGGCAAATTCAGAATACCAGAACAATTATTTTTAAAGGGATTTCTTTGAGGTATACGAGATTTCTCTGTCTGGATAACGACGTCAAATCACGGAAACATCAGTGAGGGTGAAGTGCTGTCAATTTGTTTCGTGTTCTGGCATTATGAGTTCACCAGCTTTATGAACCAGCGTTGCCTCTCGCCCGAGCCGGGACTGACGGCGACTGGCAGACCAGATATAAGCCGGGCCGGGGATGTTAGCTGGGCGGCTCTCGGGCCATCCGTGCCGGCCGGTGTACCGCGGTTACCACGAGGGCAGACCAGCGACATCTACACCCACTGACAAATACAGCTAGCACACCTACAGACGCCATGTGCGCCCGCCGCGAGTAAAGTGCAGCGAGAGTCGCCGCCACGCAACACTCTGTATCTAGGATAAAATAGTTCGATTCGTATAGTTCCCATGAAAGGCCAAAATATACAATCTTATCAGAACCGCAAGGTAAATGTGACATCATTCCGTGATTTAAAATGCAGCTGCATCTATGCACGGTGAGAAGCGAGGCTAGGAAGCGTGGTTAAAACGCAGAGAAGAAAATATTTCCAGGCTCTACACTCTCAGTTATTACACCGAACAACTGGTTAGAGTGCCCCATATGTAAGGATTAAGTCTAATACCAGACTGAACTACAACAACAAAACAATAAACATTACTCCACAACCCGGCGCCCCACAGCACAGCCCCACTTCTAAGTTCTAAAATTAAAGCGCTCGTTCACATCGTGGACGCTTCGATAATTTCCACAAAATATTCGTCTCAGGATCGATTACAGCTCGAAATCGAAATCGCTTAAAAGACACAACTGAGCTAAAGAAACGTCCCAATCCAACGACACCAAACCAGGCGTTTCTGGACACCTCTGACCACTTTATCAACAGTCTTGACGGTCCGACATCTCACTCGTGTCTCTGCCGCGGCAGACCCCGCCGCCTGCTGCTCTCACTTTGTGAACTCTCGCCTGTTCAATGTCCTGTCGGCGGCGCTGTCCACTGAACACGAGTTACTCGATGTTTCGGGTGATTACCAGCCACTTGTCGCCAATAATGCCGTCTTCCTGTCGGTCCCTCCTGGTTTTATCCCTTTGATTCAGCTCTGCCAGCAGATCTGTTCAGCCGGGTGGGCAGGACGCCAGCCGTGGATGAGTTCCATATTGGTCAATCTCACCTCAGTATTCCGGTGATGTCAACTATCCCATGGCGAGCCTCCTCAGCCCGCCTGCAAGCAAGCAATTCCTCTCCACCTGCCTTTAGTGCCGCAACTCACAGCCAGCTTACAGACGCGTCTGTCGTTACCACTTCATTCAGTCTGTCCAGCAGTGTAGGATGTTCGTGCAGAGGTCTCTGGAGCAGATGCTGGAGGCTCTGTCCGTGCCCGGCGGTCCCTCCTCTCTGGTTCTCGCAGCTCGGTCCGATCTCACAGCGCCTTATCTGGTCCACGTTTCACCGATCTGGCGTTTTCGCCCGCAGCGCAGCGCCGAAAATATTCCCGCATTCAGACAAGAACTGAAGTCCACGGGTCAGAATTATTGAAAGCCATCTAATGCGGTGCTTAGCATAAGACCTCTGCGCAGAAACACAGCACTACACCCACGCTAGCAGAGAAAAACTAAACATCAGGCGAATTCCTTTGAGCCGTAGAGGCTTCACCTATCGTCAAATGGATCACCCTCTAGACTAAGCTCCCCGCCCAAATCGGCCGTCTTCCAGCTGGGGCCACCTTGGCTGAAGTTTACCACGGTCCCCCGGTCGAGCTACACCTCGGCGTCGAGCAGGTGGGACGCGATCAGGCCGACGTCGGCGCCGAGCTGCGCGAACAGCTCGCGCATCCTGTCGAGGTCGTAGAAGCCCATCTCGACCAGCCGAGTGATCACCTGGGGGCGGACAGGCGAAGCCGGTTATCGGGCGGTCAGGGGTCAACAGGCTTCAATCACTGATATTTGATTCACGGCGTTACACAGCCGGTCAGAGGCTGCGTACCGTCCAGATAGGGCGGCCTTTTGTCAACGAGTAGCTCACTGATATATGTACAGATAGGACGCAGATAAGGAATCAGGCGGGCAGTGGCCTTGCCGCGGCGTGACCTTGCAATACCATAGTTTACAGCTAGCTCAAGTTCATTAATTATCTATTCTGTCTACACCGGCTTCAAAACTATTAATGCAAATATTTTCTGACTGCTTCGGCACCTTGACACTTTCAGTAGAAGCAGTCAGATACGTTATGCGCAGTGTGGGCAGGCTCCACTCAACGAGGAGGGCCAGTACTCACCAGAGCCTCCACCTCACTGGGCGTGCTCTCGCGGACGCCGCGCCGGTGGCCCTGTGTCAGCATGTTCAGCACCCGCTCCGGCAGCAGGCCCACCAGGCTGGAGAGCCAGGTGGGCACGTCCAGTGCCGGCTCCGGGGAGGACGGGCCCGTGGGGGAGCCGGTGGGGGAGCCGGAGGACGACCGCTGCTGTCCAGAAGGCGGTTCCTGGCGGGGCGCCGGCTCCGGCTCCGGCTGCTGCTGGCGGGGCGTCTCCCGGGGCGTCTCCCGGGGCGTCTCCCGGGGCGCCTCCCGCTGCCGCTCGCGGCGCAGTTCGTCCATCCGCGGCGGCGTCCAGACTCGTTCAGCGGCGGCAGCTACCTCCGGTTCCTGGCCCGTCTTCTCCTCGGCCCTGACGGCGTCCCGCAGCAGGCAGAGCGCGTGTTTGACCGCCTGCGCGCCCATCCCGTCCAGCTGGGAGCTCGAGGTGGCCGACACCTTGATGTGGCGCAGCATGGTGTCGAGCGCGTCAGCCAGGACGCCGACGCCGGCCGGCCGCGCCGCCTGGTCGTGCAGCAGCTCCTCCATGGGCGAGCGGCCGGCCGCCGCCGCCGACTCGACCAGGCTCGCCCAGAACGCCTGTGAGGGGGCGGAGGAGTGGTCAGACCAGTGAACACACGGAGCCAGGGTGACAGAGTCTGCGTATGCAAACCCGGCTATGAAGTCAGCGATAAATGTATGTCGGCAAGTAATGTTGGATGGCACTCGGGAAGAAAACAAGTTAGCCGGTCGAAAATAAAGAGCAGAGTTGATATACCTTACTGTCACGCACTTTGAGGTAGAAGTGCAAAAATGTGAAAGATACACACCCTTCTATCCCAGCCATTACACACAACCACTGACAGAACTGAACTTAACACAGTAATGCCCATCCACAAAAAAAACGAAAAAAAAACGACAAAAAGAAACAAATAGTCTCAAAAGGCGATAACAGGCCACCCCGACGCGCAGCAGCAGCAGCGCCCTCCCCGCGTCCCTGCCCATCACCCGTGTCTCACCTCGACGGAGCGTCGACCGGTCAGTGCCGACGCCAGCTGCATCTGACGGCTCTCCGGGACCAGCTGCAGACTCTCGGCCAGCCGGCGCAGCAGCGGCTCGGAAAGAGCCGACAGCGGGTCCATGAGCGACACCAGGCCGGCCGACTCGGCGCCGGCCACACTCGGCGGCTGCTGCGGCTCCGTCTCCTGCTCCGTCTCCTGTACTGTCTCCTGCTGGGTCTCCTGTTGAGTCTCCTGTACTGTCTCCTGCTGGGTCTCCTGCTGCGTCTCCTGTACTGTCTCCTGGTGGGTCTCCTGCTCCTGCTCCGTCTCTGTTCCCGCCGCCTCACCGCCGGCCGGCTGCTCAGGGATGGGCGGCTGGTGCGCACCGGCCGACACCGGCGACAATTTGACGCCGGCCGGCAGCGAGACGGTGGTCTGGGCGGCGCCGGCCGCCGGAGAGCTGATGGCGATGTGACAGGCGGCCGGGGCGCTCTCGCAGGTGGAGCGCAGCAGCTCTGAGCCGGCCGAGCTGGCCGCCCAGCCGCTCAGCGATCCCGCACTGCCCGAGTCCTCTGCACGGGGAGGGGGAGGGGGAGACTGAGAGGGGGCCGGGCGGGACGGGAACGATGGGCGCTGAACGATGACATACGAACGACTCCCAAAATGGCGTAATAAATGTTTGGAGACACAAAAAAGCTAATGAAGTATTAATTCCACCTACGTAAGACATATAACGGAATTTAAGGTGAAATAAGGACAGAGATATGCAACACGAAACGAACGAAGCACTTGAATGTCGCTGCTGGTATCTCACCGAGCGAGGCAGCGGCGTCCACCCAACGATCCGAGAGCGCAGAGACCATCATCGGGTCACCAGCGGCGTCAGACGTGGCCTGGGTAATGGACAATACCGTCAGCACGTTTGGGTACGACGGCGAGGACAGATTTCCTCTGGAGGTCGTCTGCCACGAGAAGTCTGGTTATAAATGCTCTTTCTGGGTGTCAAGGTTATCATTGTGTTCAATATCAATAACAAAGTCAGAAGTAAATCAAGCGAAACATTATCCAAGTGCGGTGTCGTATAACTAGTGTTATCGAACACTAACAAATACTGCTGATAAAATTCCTACGTTGAGACGGTTGACCAGTCTGATCTTATCATTATCAGCTAGTATCTTGTAACCCCCCAGCAACATGCCCCGACAGGTCTGATCTCACAAGGCCAATCCCAGTTCCACCCGTTCCCGTCACGTCTGCCCGCTGACCTGCACTGGCGGCTCAGCCTGCTGCTGCACCTGCTGCTGCTGCTGCTGCTGCTGCTGCTGCTGTCGCTCCTGCTGCAGCTGCTGCACCTGCCGCTGGTGCTGTGTCAGCGCCTCCTCCAGCTCCTCGGCCACCTCCTCGACCATTTCGAAGCGCTCCGAGCCGCCCGGAGACGAGATGATGACGATGTCGGAGAAGTCGTCCTCGGACAGACTGAGCCGACGTCCGTTCACCGTGACAAAGCCCTCCTCCAGCTCCGGCTCCTGGTCCGGCTCCTGCTCCCGCGGCTGCTCCTGAACCGGAGCAGGCTCCCGCTGTTTCTGCTGTGACTCCTGCTCCGTGTGTGCCTCCTGCTCCTGGCGCGACTCCTGTGGCTCCGGCGCCGCCGCTGGTTGCTTGACAACCGTCTCCAGTTCCTGGACAAACACACAAAAGTGTTACTTATATTAGTGTAAAAATAGGTCAATGAGATGACTTCATAGGGCATGGCACAGGAAGTGTGCATATATGTGTGACTGTAAAATGTATATTGATTATTGAGAGAATCGTGTCTAACTTCTGAGTTTATACAGTCGGATATGTTTCAACCCGCTTATTCCGAAGTCAATGGACATTGTCAAGGCGCTACGTCACGGCATTGATGAATATACACCTTAGCAATTAACCACCAGGCACCAACCATACCAAGCAGCGGACAGTATAGCCAACACATCAGTCGCCCACCATTGCCACCGCTGGCGGCAGGCACTCACCGGGTCGCCGACGGTTGCGGCGGGCGGCGTCGGGGGCTCGCTGGCCAGCCACTGGGCCACGGTGACGGGCGGGTGCACCTCCTGGCCCTCCCGCTCCTCCTCCCGGCCCTCTCCCTCCTCCCGAACCGTCTCCTCCGGCTGGGGCGCGGCGGCGGAGGTCTCCTCCGGCCGGCTCTGCTCCGTCTCAGGTCCGACCAGGACGTCGTCCGGCGCGGCGGCCGCGCCAGAGAACGGCTCCAGCTCGGCTGCCGAGTGCTCCACCATCACCAGCATGCAGCTGTCGGCCTCATCCACATCCGTGGGGCGGCGGCGCGGCCGCGGCTGGGGCCGGCCGGCCGGCACGCTGTAGGCGGAGCGCAGCAGCGCCGGCCGGCCGCCGCCCGTGGCCGCCGTGGTCTCCACCGAGCGGCCACCGGCGCTGTACACGGTCACTCCGCTGTGTACGCCGGCCACCGAGCCGCCGGAGCCGTACGACACGCCCGCGCCGCTGGGGGACGAATCGGACACGGAGAATAGACCGTACCGATCCACCGGCGCAGTATCAGCAGCGGCAGCAGCGGCGGCAGGCGACTCAGAGGAGCTCAGCAGAGACCGCAGCCAGTCCGGACCGTCGGCCGGCACCGTCGGAGGGGTCGTCTGCACCCCGGTGTCCGCCTTCTCCACGGCGGGGACCGCAGCTGTACCGGTGGACGCGTCTTTAGCCGGGACTGGGGAGGAGGCCGGCGCCGGCGGCAGGCCGCGCGTCTTGCCCGGCATGGAGATTGGGTCGGAGACGGGCGGCTCGGCCACCCGTTGCGGCGTCCCGGTCAGTCCGTCCGGCTGAGTCAGCGAGCTGGCCGCGACTGACGAGCTCGCCGGCCGCTGCTCCTCTGGCTCGGCACCGCCGGCCGCCTGAAACCGACACGCTAGCGTAAGAAATAGAACACAATAAGAAACTTAATTCAACATCTTAGCAAGTCAGCACACAGTGCGCCACTGTAGCCAAAGTTATGCATGTGAATTGTGATTCTGGCTACTGAGCACCTGTTCACCATCACCTTCTGAGCACCCACCTGGTCGGAGTCTGTGGCGCGCGGAGCCCCACACAGGCAGACCGGAGCGTTGGCCAGCTCCGACTTCACTGCCGTCACCACCTCCGAGACCAGCTCCTTCTGGAACTGAGGGGACGGAGCCGGGACGGGGTCAGAAGCGGGCACCTCCACACCCCTCTGGTGTACGGAACAGGAGCTGATGATATCTGTGCTGAGCTGATAAGGACTCCAATCCATGGCATATTTTTTCATACATACACGTCATGAAATATTTGCCGGCAACTAAAGTTTGATATTACATTCTAAGCAGATTGGCCTGACATAAATGTCACATCAAGGTCATGTGCGAGTAAGAAAGCGACACCAAATACTTTACCTCCCTTCATCAGCCTGCTATCCCAACAAAAGTATTGCAGCTCACAAAGCAACGAGTGGAAGCCATCCCATCATACACCACAGCCCACCTGTCCCATAAAGCTGGCGAACCAGGGCGGGATGTCGCGCCTCTTCTCGCGCTTGTGCGCAGTGGCCGGCAGCGTCTGGTGGCCGGCCGGCGGCGGCGGCGGCAGCGGCTGGCCGCGACTGGGCTGCTCCAGGTGCGCCACCTCCGGCTGCTGGTGGGGCGGTCGCCAGCCGTCCTCGGGTGTCTCTGTACCGCCGGCCATACACGCCTGCTGCCAGGCGTCCACGCGCGCCCAGAGCGGGTCGGCCGGAGCGGCCGGCACGGGACGCACGTCGAGCTGCTGCGGCGGCCGGCGCGGCTCTCGGGCCGCGTGCAGCTCGCAGCGGCGCCGCTCCTGGCGCCGCAGCGCCCGCTCGGCGCTGCCCACCCGCTGTCCGTCCCGCTTGGCCAGCTGGCGCGCAGAGGTGAGCGACGGCTCGCCGCTGCCCGTGGCGCCCGAGGAGGTGTTCGGCGAGGTCCGCTCGCGCAGCCGCACCTCCAGCGCGCAGCTCTGACGCGCCAGCATCTCGGCCATGTAGACCATCACGTTCAGCTCACTGTCGCTCGTCACTGGGATCTAAAAACGGCACGGGGCGGGGCGGGGCGGGAACACCTCAGCGGAGACGACCAACTCATGTGTAATCTGACAGAACAGAACGGAATCTCTTTGTGTTGGGTAGCTGTAAAACAGATTCTTCTTAGGATTATGATAGATAGTGATGAGTAAAGCTTTCCAGCGCTGGGCGTGACAGTCAGCAATTTACCCCACGCCCGTGACTCGGCATCCTGCCGACGACCGCGCTATCTGGTGGCGGCCGCGGCGTGTGGGCAGACGATTCCCGATAGTGACGGTCTGAGTCATGTGCGCAGCACTGATAGTTGGAGACGAAGGTCATGGAGTTCGCAAAGCGCTAGTGCACATTTATGGTAGACATTAATGTGTTTACGAAGAATAATGTGAAATTAACCCTCGCATGTATGCGGCGTTTGCCAGCTTCTAATGTGAAGGGGGGGGGGTCGGTTGGACCCCCCCCCCTTGCCGTTTGGCCCCTGATCGAGCTAGAGCTTCGCGGAAAAAACGAGCGTGTTGCCCGTGACGAGAGGAAGCCGATGATACCCAATTTTAGGGTCCTAGGTCATTGGTTGACCTTCCAGGTCAGGTCAATGACCCAAAGTCGGGAAAATCGGGACCTGTTAGAAAGTCGTAAAGTGTGGCTGCTAAGAGGTTTTTCGGGGTGCTGATCACGAATATCGCGTTAGTTTTGATCACAGCAGATGTCTTTAAGCATTTAGACCAGGTCGGGTCAGGTCAGGTCAGGTCAACCAGTAGGCGTCGTGACGGGTATTCGTAGTACGTGTCAACCGCCTCTGACAGCTTCGTAACACGTTACGAAGGCACCAAAACTACTTCGTAAATGTTCAAATGGTTGCTTAATTCGAATTCAGCTCCAAAAACTAGCCTAGAAACATGTACAGCTCGAAAAAGTGAACCGAGGTCACCCGAGGTCACCAAAGGTCAATGACCTGACCTGACCTTCAGGTGACCTTGACACCCACCCTAATGCATGAAAGCAACATCAACTCACATGTTTGAACGTTTGAAACCACGAAAAGCTTGCAAACGCGCGGCTAATGCGAGCCGACATACGCAGAATCGCGATTCCGGCCAAACATGGTCTCGGAAAAGAGGTCACAGGTCAAAGGTCATTTGGGTCAGGGTCATGAAATTTTCAGGGTAGGTGTAAAATTGATCAATGTGAGGGTACTGAAAGTTTCGTCGCGATCGGCCGCTTTTTACGCAAGTTATTCGCGAAAAACCATGGGGGGGGGTCCATCCGACCCCCCTACACATGCGAGGGTTAAAATGGAGAGAAACTAGTATTTCAATTTGTCACCATAAATTATGTAAAAAAGTAGTAAATCCAGCACCCGAGGAAGGCCTTAAATGGCGCGTCATAACAATCCCGTCCCGCCGGAAGGTCGCCGGTCGCGGCCCAGACCGGCGGTGCACCACTCCGGACGTGATCTCACCTCATCTCCCTCGTCGTCACTGTAGGACACGGACGGCGAGCGCTCCAGCTCCAACTTCTCCTTCTGCAGCACAGAGACACAGAGAGAGGGTGACTGTCACCGGTCGGCCGCACACCGCGCACGGCCCGGGGGCAGTGGGGACAGGCTCACCCGCCGGCGGAGCCCGTACACTGGCCGGCCGAGGGTGACCGGACGCTGATACAGACTGGCGCGCGGCGCAGCGGTGTCGACACACGCCGACACCAGAACTGCGTCACCGGGCGTCGATGTGGCTACACCGACACACAACCGCCACCGCGGCTACACTGCCAGCGCTACACAGCCACCGCGGCTACACCGCCAGCGCTACACAACCACCGCGGCTACACTACCACCGCATGGTAACTGCGGCTACACCCTCGCCACACGGTCACTGCTGTAGTCGCGGTCCGACCTGCTGTGAGCGGTCCAGGTTTCCCACCATCCAATGGTTGTTTAGTGTGTAAATGGATGAGTCAGGCTGGGGAACGAGCGGGGAATCCCGCCCGCCGGTAGCGAAACAAATGAACAAAGCTCAGCGCAGGAGTGAAGGGAGCACCTCGGAGAAGTCCGTCAAAGGTGGAAAGATCGGGGCGCTTCGTGAAAAGGTGGCTCAAGATGACAGCTCGAATGGTGCTGGTCGAACGCATGGAAGCATTTCGATTTTTCGGTAATTGCTTGGGAAGTCAACGAGGAAATGACGCTCGGTAGTAGCAACGAAACCATTGGCTGATTAGCAGCATGCAGCGATGCTCAGGGGCGGATCCAGAAAAACTCCAAGGGAGGGGTCATGAATCGAAGTGGGGCACCCTACCTATACCCAAAATTAAAAACTCAACGGATTTCCGCCACTTATTTTTTGGTGGGGCCCTATTTTTAGTTTTTTTCCTGTTATTTTATTTTATTTTTTTTATTTTTCCCCTGCCCCCTGGGCCCTGACAGAACTGTGGTGCCCCTGACAACCCTGAAGTGTCCCTGACAGGCACGTGGTGCCCCTGACAGGCCCAAGGTGCCCCTGCGAGGCCGGTGGTGCCCCTGCTAGACCTCTGGTGCCCCCGACAGGCCTGAGGTGCCCCTGAAAGGACTGTGGTGCCCCTGGGCTCTGACAAGCCTGAGGTGCCCTGACAGGCACGTGGTGCCCCTGACAGGCCCGCGGTGCCCTTGCTAGGCCTGTGGTGCCCCTGGCAGGTCTGTGGTGCTCCTAGCGGGCCTGTGGTGCCCCTGCTAGGCCGCTGGTGCCCCTGGGCCCTGGCAGGACTGTGGTGCTCCTGACAAACCTGAAATGCCCCTGATAAGCCCAAGGTGCCCCTGGGTCCTGCGAAGCCGGTGGTGCCCCTGCGAGGCCGGTGGTGCCCCTGTGAGGCCAGGGGTGCCCCTGGCCCCTGCGAGGCCGGTTGCGCCCCTGGCGGGCCTGTGGTGCCCCTGGCGTGCCTGTGGTGCCCCTCCTAGGCCGCTGGTGCCCCTGGGCCCTGGCAGGACTGTGGTGCCCCTGACAAACCTGAAGTGCCCCTGATAAGCCCAAGGTGCCCCTAGGCCCTGCGAAGCCGGTGGTGCCCCTGCGAGGCCGGTGGTGCCCCTGTGAGGCCGGGGGTGCCCCTGGCCCCTGCGAGGCCGGTGGTGCCCCTGGCGGGCCTGCGGTGCCCCTGGCGGGCCTGTGGTGCCCCTGGGAATTGATAGGCCGGTCGTGACCCTGGCAGGCCTGTGGTGCCCCCGTGTGGCACCACAAGGTCCCAAGGGGGGGCATGACCCATATGACCCCCCCCCCCCTTGGATCCGCCACTGGCGATGCTTCAGAGTTCAGGAAATGTCGACGTCCGCATGTTAATCAAATAAAATATCTTATTCCTTCACTACCGGCCAAAAATGGTATATGTGATCGAAAATTACACCAATCTGATACGTAAATGCCAACATTATAGTCGACTAATAGATTGTAGCCGTACACTCAACTCGCAAATATAATATCAACAAAATAACTAAAACATAAGGTTTGAAATACCAAATACCAAGTTGGTATTAGTTTGGTATCGGTATACCAAAAAGTCGGAATCTGATTGACATCTCTAATGTGGAATAAGAAAGCAGGCAGCGGCCCGGTCAATGACCGTAGTCCAGTTCGGTAACGGTCACAAATGCTCTCGCCTACCCCGATGAGCACGTGTAGGTAATGAACCATCAATAACAGGCCAATCTGGTTATATTAGGAGAACCGTGGCCCTGATCTGAATAGCAGCATCACCGCTACACCGCTGTCATATTAAAATGACAGCTCGCCGGCTTAAAGTTAGAAGAATCCTTGCATAGGTATTAAACATAATCTCAGTGCTCCAAGGTATTTCCAGGCATATGAAAATCGCACCAATTATGACGCAGGGTGAGCCAGAAGCATTAATTGTGTAAAACTACTCATTGAGGGTAGCGAGAACTCAAATTGGGTTTAAATTTCATCCTTCAACTTAATCGGAATATAACAGTAACACACATTTTGATATAATAAAGAAACGTGTTCTGAAATAGACACGACACCTGCACAACACAATTAGGATAATTTGATATACCTACGGACGAACAAATCAGGGCACCTGGGGCCTCTGAATCGGTCATTATTCTCCCAGCCACAGAAGGTAAATTGCCGAGCAGTAATGAAGCCGGGCCGCGTCGGGCAGCAATGGTGACCGAATGAGTCGCGCGGGATCCCCCACCAGTAATTCTGCCGCGACTGCCGCACCGCACACCCAGCCCGCGCGACTGACTCAGACTCGTTAGAAACGTGACCCCGGCGCAGCAAGCGCGGCCGGTGGCAGGTGTCCCATCCTTCGCTCCCGACCCGACCGCCCTTCCATCCATCCCGGGCTCTTCCCTTCCCTCTCGACCTCCTTCAACCACTCTGGATCAGCCTCCAGCCCTCGCAAAGCAGTACTTGAGCTGTTCTTGTCTCTAGCCGACAGTTCGAGAAGACAATGCAAAAATGGGAGGGCAGCTGGTTTTAATTTAGCTGAATTGATTCAAAGAAATGGTATAGGGACGATCTGCTCTTTCCATTCCATCCTGAGCATGCATACATGCGACATTTGTTTATAGACTGACAATTTTCGATAAATAAATACCAGTATATTAGTGTGTTTGCCAAAAATAGCCTACAAAAACAACTTTTCCTAAGCATATGTTACAAAAGAAGAGAAGATCACACCTAGGCACCATTCCACCACAAAGCAATTTATTCATAAATGCAACAGCATCCTTCTATCTTGGAGCAACGATGCATGTATTTTTGTGGGTAGGAAAGCGTCGCAGTTTTTTTTTGTCAACGGCGGAATCCAGTGAAGTCTATAGATAGGAGATGAAGGTGAAAAAGTCTGACTACTCTGTTCCCGCACGTCAGCAGCGTTGGCTCACACTTCACAGAAAATCGTAATGAAAAACATGTGTAGAGGCGAGTGTGTGTGTCATGTGTGTGAGGTCGAATTCGTTATCTTGGTCATTGTGATTGGACCCCAATAAATATGCAGCGCCTGTTCAAATAATCAGAAGAAATGACGTCGCCCAGCTAATATTTACAAAGGTTCGCAGCCATGTTGTAATAACTGATGTAAGACCAACACCAGTCAGCCCACATCGCGTCGCCAGCGCCACTCGAGGCTTCATGCCGTTCGTGCTCAGACCGCAGTGAGACCGAATGGCGTTATGTTAAGCACACTGGCCGGAACTATTGAAAGTCAACGGGCCCAGTACCTACTGCGCGGCTCGGACGCAGTGCTTTGCACCATGTCGGATCATTGGAGATAAATGAGCATATTCAGTTCCACCTGATAGATTCTTCTCAATTTTACCAGTGAGATGGTGTTTGCTTCACCATGGCTTCATTTTTGCCAGAACTAAATGCATCAAATAAAACCACATATTGAATCGTAATAGAAACGATAGAAAAAAAGACATGTTACCAAGACATGTTATGCCCATTCCTGAAACAATGCTAGTCGTTCCATTGGCATCATTCTCTGTGTGTTTTCACCCTGACCAAAACACTTAAACAACACTTCCTGGAACCAGCGTGGCATTGTCATTCATAAATATCATCAGTCGTCAATGTCATAAAAATGTCATAAATGTCATCAGTCGTCATAAAAATGTCATAAATGTCACCATAAAATTATCAGGACTTTGGCGTAGCTAAACGCTCGCTCAGGCCCTTATAGGCGCTACCCACATCCATTCTCTGGACAAAAGAAACGAGACTTTGTTTACATTTCAGATTTAAAACAGACACCCTGGTGCGTCAATTAGGCCGCCTGACCTAGACAGCCGCCCCCGCCAAGGGCCTCCCCGGCCCAGCCGCCCCCGCCCCGTCACTCACCAGGAACAGACGGAACTGCGCCAGGTCCAAGGTGGCCAGCTGACGCAGCGAGACGCGCAGCTTCTTCCGGATCTGGCGCTCACCGTCACGGCCCCGCACGCGCAGCCAAACCACCTCCTGCGGCCCCATCGCGCTGCCGAGGCACGGGCGAGGTGTCAGACTAGACGGACAGGGGACTGGGGGGACGCGGGGAACACTACGCACAACCATCAGGCAGGGCTGCAATCCGGGTGGACTGGGAATCAGTTACTGGACTCCGGACGGGAAGACAAGGTGATGCGGGGACTCGGCGACGGGCAGAACTGAGCGCTCGTGCGTCCCCGCCAGCTATCGACCGTATCAGTCAGGTGACGGCTGTGTGGCCAGGTGACGCAATAAGCCGGGAAGAACCAGCCAGCACAGTCAGACGATTCAATATTAGCAGCTCACGTGTTTATTTTTTTCAGCAATCCAGCCATGAACCCGCCATGGCTTATGACATTATTACGCCTGGCTAACGTGAGCTACCCAATATGCATGTTATATTGTTGGTGATATTGTTGCCTGTTGGGCTACAACAGTCGACAAACTACATATAAGACACGTAGCACACTTCTGCAACATTATGTAACGTTGTGTAATTTCAGCATTAACACAAATTGTTGATTGTGTAGGTGTGAGCGGCCACTTTCCTCTCACTCCAGAGCCTGAAGTCTGAACTCATGTTCCGTGCTTTTTAACGGTGTATGGTCACGCGCACAAGTTGGGTTTCAACACAGCGAGAGCCAGTTTACTGATAGCTTTGAGCGACAAACAAGATACGCGGCATGAACTCTAAGCCCAGTCACACGAGGTCAGATAGGAGCTAAGTCAGTCGCCCGCAGACTCGGGAAATATATGTGAGTTATGATAATAAACTGCGGGTTGAAGGATGACGGGTCACCCGGACGCCTATGCTCATTGTTTATACAGATTATGGGCCACCACATCCGGCTCTCTGACGTCTTTATTCCGCAGGGCATTCCCCTATAGACTGCTCAGAGGGCAGTCGGTGGATATGACAGCGGCCCTGGTACTGACTCGCATCACGGACACCGTCAGTGCGGGGGTGCAGTTTGCACCGTGATGAAGCCGAGGCTGGGAGAACCGTCAGCCACCTACACTCGGCGTGAGCAGTCACAGATAACGGCCAGCGGGCGGCGGCAAGTCGGCCCGTTCCGTGGAGCAGGGCTGTCGGAACGAGCGGCCGGCCGGCCGGCCGGCCAGTCAGTGCCCCCGGCCGCCGACACCGCGCGAAAGCGGCCCTGACCCCACACGGTGTCGTAACGCGTCATAACGCCGGCCCAATGAGCGAACCAGGCCGGCAGACCGGCCCCCGTCGACGGCGCTCACTTCAGGGCGGCCACCCGGCCTGGACTGAAAAACCGCACCCGGCAAAACAGACACTTTCTGTATCAAAACGCAGGGCTGCGCTTCACAGGGTGCTATCATGTGAGAACGTGTAAGGAAATAAGCTCTCATGAGATAAGTTTCAAAGCAAAGCACCTAAATCACGTTTCATTCTTATCGCAACCGCTGGGGCCACATTTCCTCACCCGCGCCCGCCGTGGAGAGGCGGGCGCGATGTGCAAGCCCTGCAGTGTCCTGAAATTGATTTTTCGGAGAGTGTGATTGAAGCCGCAAGGACGTCAGTATTTCAAAAGGACGTCGATATCGGTGCGGAGCCTCAGCCAGTAGCCACTGAAGATCCCTTAAATCTCTTAAAATTAGCGATTTTCACTAGCAATTTTGACTAAAAGCACCTGAAGACACCTCAAAGGATCATATTAGTCACAAAGTAATGCCAGTTTACCCCTAGTACAATACAAATTTCAATTATTCACCACAAACACCAAAACAACACTTTGAAGATGTCTAGTTCTTGGCCCTGTTTCACCGGTGATAGCAGCACGCTGCTTTTACACGTGTCAAATTGGGTTTCCATGGAAACATCAACAGGCCCATTGCTCCAACACTACCACAAGTGTGACGTCAGCTCGCGCAATTTGATAGCAGCGTGGTAGCAGCGTCCCGTGAAACACCGCCCTTGTCCATGATCGTACACAAGTCAATAACAAATATGCTTCAACAAAAATCAGCCCAAGAGCCAGCGGCTATCACTAAATATTGACGTCATAAGAGGGGTATTATATCGAGCAAGAGGAGTGACGTAAAAAACAGACGTCCAAACAAAGAGGTGGAAAACAGTTAGGAATATTAATTTCCATAGCTTCCTGTTATGAAATTCAATTAAGAAAACTCCAAGGTAGACGCTGAATTTTTCTTGGCTGGAAAAAATGTGAAATCACTGTGCACTTTTCAGTTTTGTACCGACGTCGATTTAATGGGAATGACAAGGTCAATCGACGTCCCCAACATGGCGTGTATTTTTAAGCCAAGGACGACACACTTTAATCAAAACTGTTGAAATTCGGTAACTTTATTCTAATTCAAATAAATAAACACAAACTTTTTCCCCAACCACTATGAACATATGCAAAATTAACTAAGTTTTTGAAGGGTATGTTCAAGGGGCAGCGCTACCCCGTTACTGTGACCTTCTGAGGGGAAAAATAATTAAATATGTTACAGTGATTTGATACAAAAGTTATGTTCTGTGCTTATAGATAAATGTCGAAGTAATATATTTGCATGATTAATTTTTATCTATTCACTGCACAGTTACTAAAACTGAAAAGTGGAAAACGACGTCCTCAGATCCCTCTATTCCGACATCTTTTCTCCTTCATATGGCAGCTATTACCTTCACATGATAAAGGAAAAAAAACTATCCATATCTGACGCACAGAAAACGAAAATAAAACCGCGTTGTTTACTGTTGCGGCAATTGGCCAGCGGTGTAGGAAACGGTAGTTGAGTATAAGAGTGGGTTTGTGAGGCCTTGGGATATATTTATTGTCATTTTGCATAGCTGTGTTTTTAGGCCACAGAGGTGATATTTCTTTTTGTTAGTTTTCTTTTAGTGTTCGATATATACCTGTCGACTTTTATCTGTCAGGGACGTCGTTTGGCTTTCCGGGACGTCACAAAGAGAATCTGTTCGGGTGTGGGTTTCCACCCAAATTCACGAAAATCAGGACACTGAAGCCCTGAGACAGAGCGTCAGCCGGCCGCCCGGCCCGTGGTCCCACAAGGCCTCGGTCGCTCCGACAACCCCCAACAGTCAACACTCATACACTGAGAGACTGGTGACAGGCGGCCGCTCTCAGGATGGAGGCGATAACCCAGTTGTTAGTGAACCGGCGATTACTGAGAAGTAACAATGACCTGTTCAGGCGAAGGGTCAGTGTCTCGCCGAACACTGAACAAAAAGCGAAAATACATGACCGACAGGGATGTGAGACTAAAACCGTCGACCAATGCCTTGATCAGCGTTCCATCCCTTGCTATTTCTGCACCCAATCATCTGACCTCATCGACCAGAGGCCCCAGGGACACATTTCCGCCGTCACTCCCCATCACGTCATTACTCGGTAGGTACAGTCACCAGCACTTGCTACTAATCACCTCGTTTTTGCTCAGTAGTTTGAAGACCAATCAATTCTCAGTCGAGCAAGATACGTCAAACGATCGGTTTGGTCCTCCGATTTTCGAATATCTAACTTGTTTTTGTATGTTCGAAGCATTTTGGGATGAGGAGCCAAAAAACGTCTTTTCTGCCCTAAAGTTGCCCCAAGAAGTCGTAGAACCTAGCCCCGCCTCTGATCCACAGACCACTAGTGCCATCTCTTGTCAGCCGAACAAACCGCAGAAGTAAATAATGTCACGTGACCTTTGCACACGCTACAATTACTACGCAGTTGTAGTGGGGGAAGCGGGGCGGAGGCGTGGAGAGGGACGCGATCGGTCGGCTGGGGTCAGGTCGCCGAGGTCAGAGGTCATCCGCCGGAGGGTGTTTGGGCGGTTGGGCCGTGTGGGCTGGGGCCTGCGGAGTGGGGAGCGCCTGGACCTGTCTGGAAACAAGTTCTACAGCGCTGTGGCAGTCGAGAATATTGTGAGAAAAGAGAGAGAGAGAGAGAGAAAGAGAGGGAGAGGGAGAGAGAGGGAGAGAGGGAGAGGGAGAGGGAGAGAGGGAGAGCGAGAGAGGGAGGGAGAGCGAGAGAGGGAGGGAGAGAGGGAGAGAGAGGGAGAGAGAAGGAGAAAGGGAGAGAGATAGAGGGAAGAGAGATAGAGGGGAGAGAGAGAGAGAGAGTGAGAGAGAGAGAGAAGAGAGAGAGAGAAGAGAGAGAGAGAGAGAGAGAGAGAGAGAGAGAGAGAGAGAGAGAGAGAGAGAGAGAGAGAGAGAGAGAGAGAGAGAGAGAGAGAGAGAGAGAGAGAGAGAGAGAGAGAGAGAGAGAGAGAGAGAGAGAGAGAGAGAGAGAGAGAGAGAGAGAGAGAGAGAGAGAGAGAGAAGAAAGACTGGAGGGAAGGGATAAGGACGGGAGGAGAGAAAACAGAGACAGAAAAGGAAAACCAGGGAGGGTAAAATGAGAGAGAGGGTAATTGGTAAATCAGTGAGGGGGAGCGAGAGAGAAAATATTTAAATGTGTCAGCTTGTTTCGTATGTAAAATGTAAATTTGCTTTCCATCATTTCAGCTTCGGATTGAAAATTAAATCTTAGCATCCTTATGATAAACAAACGCTGACGGGATGGTGACTTTTTATGGTCGTCGTTGGCAGCTCGGCACTAATGGGGATGATGTTGAGGGTTTCGCAAATATTTCATAAAAGAGATGCTATTTTTTGCATCACCTATTAAACATTCTTTTTACGTTTGCTATGAAAATGTTAGGCCCAGTTCCTTCAAGATCAGCTCCACGACTCCACAGCTTACAACAGGAGCTAGCTAACATAACAATTCACCCGAGCCGTGTTGATGGCATGAACTTTCCGTCGAGTGCTGAGGGGGGGGGGGGTTAGGGTGTTTCATTACACTATGGTAAAATAATGTTGGTTCAAAACTCAGCCATATCGACTTTGCCCCAGCTCTACCCGTAAAACTGAATCGATTGATACGCTTGAAACCCAAATTTAAGTATATTTAGGGGTCGCACACTTTTGTCGCCAAACCTCGTTACACAGAGAAGGGGGCACATTCTTCCTTGGTGCGCTTG